TGTCTCTGAAAATGATAATTGGAAAAGAAAGTAATAGTAGCAGTAGCAGTAGTGGCAGCAGAATCTAAGAGAAAATCCAACCCTTTCATCTGCATGTGTGTGCTGGTCCTTTCACAATCCCTTTATATAATTTCTGAGTCATCAATAAAGCTGAAATAACCTAACCACAGGGTATCTGGAATACAATTTTGACCAGCTGTGCCTATCAGACCTCTTCTTTAAAAAGTGAGCTTGCGTTGCGTTGTGTAATAAATTGTTACAGAAATCTTTCTAGAACTTAAAAGTTATTCTGGCATCTGGTTGAAAGTTACTGTGAGCATTCTGGAAGAATTTCAATAGGAATAGAAAGGACGGGGAAGTGAGTAAAGTCATTTCAGAACCATTCTTGAAGGGTAATGCTGGCGTTCCGGAGGGATTTCAGCGCTCAGCTAGAGGGCAGCAGAATTATTGCTGAAGTATTCCTTGTGGAGAGCTTTAACCTCATGGCCGAAGTGTATTCAAAACAATTCTGCTGTGATAGTAAAAAATATATATCCATGCTGTGCATTCCCACAAGAGCATTTTGGCCTGCTTATTCACATGAGCCAAGAACTGAAAAGGAGCTGAGGAGCAAATTGGTAAAGTGCTACCACAGAGATTTCACTCTAAATGCTGGTTGGGGAAGCCTCGCGGTTTCAAAAGGTTAGAGACATTAGACGTTTTACAAGGTATGTGCCGAAATGAATAATTCATGGAAAAATGCTCCTAAGTCTATTCAGGTAAGATTATATGGTAAAGTAAGAGAAAATGCCAGATTAAAAAAAAAAACCAAAAAACTCTTTTCTATGTGATCCTGCAGAGCCCTCTAAATTAATCCTCCACATGTACCCTGTGCATAGCACTGTGCTGGGTACTAGGGAGATACAGCAATTGTACCTCAAGCTAACTGAGCACATAGGACATCCATATAGTCAACAAATACTTATTTAACACCTACTACTAGGTGTTGAATACATTCTGAAACACCGTCCTTGACCTAAAACAGTGTAATCTAGTAAGAGAGACATCTAGAAAGAATAAATTGCCATCAATCATGGAAAAATCAACATTAAAAGTTCGTACAGGACAGATTGTGCGGGCAGTTAGTGAGCTTCTCACCCACCTTCCTACTTCCAGTCCTATGCCTTTCCCACCCACCCTCTCCCACGGCTCAGAACTCCTCCCCATGGCCTTGTGAGGTCCTGTGTGTTAGGAACTCTGATGATACAGCCACCTTTATCTCTCTCTCTTTGTTTTGTTTGTTTGTTTGTTTGTTTGTTTTTGTTTTTGTTTTGTTTTGTTTGTTTTGAGACAGAGTCCTGCTCTGTCACCCAGGCTGGAGTTTAGTGGCACGATGTTGGCTCACTGCAACCTCCACCTCCTGGGCTCTTGCCACTCCCTCCCATTCAGCTTCAGCCAGTTCCTTTTGCCTCAGGCTCTTTGGCCTCAAGGCCTTTGCCTAGGAAACCACCTTAGCCACTTCACATCTCATCACATGGCAAGTTCCTTCCCATCCTTTAGGTCTCAGCTTCAATGTTACCTTCTCAGAAAAGCCCCATGACCCTGTCTATAAAGTATATATTTCATTTTATTCTCTATCTCAGCTCCTTTTTATTGTTTTCTTCTTGATGCCTACTCACAATTTCTAAGTATTTGTTTGTTTATTTACTTAGTGACCTTCATACCAGACTGGCAGGTATTATACTATCTCTGTTTTGTTCACCATTATGTGTCCAGTGCTTAGCTCAGTGAGTGCATAGTAGTTATTCAATAAAATTAGTATTTTACTAACCACAGTAGTTGCTTAATAAAATGTATTGATTGAATGAATGACTTAAAGTGACCAACATTAGTACTAGCCCAACTAAATAAAAATAAAATTCAAATCTCAATTATAAATTCTTTTTTTTTTTTTTTCAGATACTGGGTCTCACTCTGTTGCCAAAACTGGAGTATAGTGGTATGCTCATGGCTCACTGCAGCCCCAACCTCCTGGGCTCATATGATCCTCCCATCTCAGTCTCCCAAGTAGCTGGGACTACAGGGGTATACCACTACACCCGGCTAATTTTTGTATTTTTTGTAGAAACAGGGTTTGGCCATGTTGCCCAGGCTGGTCTTGAACTCCTGGACTCAACTATTCCTGCCACCTTGGCCTCCCAAAGTGCTGGGATTACAGGTGTGAGCCACTGTGCCCATCCTTCAATTATAAATTCTTATCCTCCACAAATTCAGTGCTCAAGATGGTGGTTTACAGGGAAATGTGAAAGGCAGGTTCCAGTTAGAATTATGCTGTTTCTGTTTCTATTGAAAATTAGGAACTGATTTATGGTGATTTGATGGAATGGATTAACAACTCTAGAGGGACTCCTTTCCAGTCTACCTTCCTTCCACCAGCCAATCCTCTTGCCTCAGGAGATCAAGTGATGATATGAGTAGGTCAAGTCCAAAGATATTAATTGGGATACTTAGTATCATAAAATAATTTAAATAAATCACTGTTGGGGCAAACACTGTCTTCTTTTCTTAGTGTAATCCTACAATCTGAATGTTAAAAACACAGAGGACTAAGATTTGGGTATGGGGATAAGGGGAAGAGAATCAGGAAGGCTACTCTGCAATCTTGATCCTGGCTCCTGGGCTGCCTATTGCAAGCTAGAAGAGTTATGGATTCCATGTGTTATGATCTGGATCATTAGGAGACTCTTCTTAGATTGAAGTAAAAGACAGAAAGTTTGAGTGGAACTGCAGGAGTTTGAAAAGGGCATGACCTCCCCATACCATCCTTAGGATCTTGGATATAGTTTGGTAGTTGTTCTATAGTGTAGACTCAGGACCCTGAATCCTGGGAAAATAACATCTTAAACAACCATCCTAATACAATTTATTCCCCCCACCCCGAGACTTGTTGGTAGTAAATAGAAAATTTTTGCTGATGGCAACAATCCCACGGAGAATGGCAGATTCTACTGAAATTTCTAGAGAGCTGAATGAACAAGGAAAGCACAGATTCGAAGCTTGGATTTTAGAAAATACAACAGAAGATGGTGTGGGGTAATTAGCAAGTGGGAGATTACTGCCATGTAGTAGTATGGTGCCTCTCTTCATTCCAGGGGTCTTCAGTAAAGTTATTCACCTCAAACAATTCATGAATGGGTTTGAAAACTGAAAAGTTAGGAGGAGCTGAAGTCTATAGTTGCAAGGGTAGAGCTCAAGCAAGATGACACACATGGAAGCAGTCCAGAGACAGAGGCACCAGGGGGAGATGCACCATAGGATCTGCACTAATCATGAGGAAGGGGCCAGACTTGTACAGACTGTGTGACAGCATGAGGCAAGTTTCTAAAAATCAAAGCATTACAGAAGTCTGTATGACATTTAGTTTAACTATGGTGGTCCCACGTGGGTTCCTTCATCTAAAGCACTCAGTTGTATTTGGATTTAATCACTACCTTAAAACTGGGAAAAGTGGGCCTTCTATATAATTGCCAACCTGTGAAGATAGAGAAAAATATAACACACACTGAGAATCAGGCACTGGGGCCCAGGTATTTCTTAAAGCAGCAAATTATCCAAGTGATGAAGTAGCTGGCACAGAATTGGTTACAACAGTTACAGCCCAGCACTTGAGAGTCATTGATTCAGGATATTGTAGTTTTCTTCATATTAACACGGGTAATCAAGAGTTAGTTTTTATCACCTGACAGTTGTTAGGTATTATCTTTCCCCAATAATTTTTCTCTAATGTTTATTAAAATGCAGATTTTTGAGCCTCAAAAGGGCTTACTGAATGGGAATCTCTTGAGAATGAAGCCCAGGAATCAAAAGATGACACAAATTTTTCTAAGTTGATTGAAGTTTGAAAACTATAGTTCTTTCCTTTTTATTCCCATAATGTGAGACATTTCTGTGCATATCCACTACCATCTCGCTTCCTACGACCAGATGACTAACGTGTTCTAGATCCTTCTATCCCTTGTTGTTGTCACTACTGTAACTTCTGCCAAATAAAGCGTGCATCTTCATCTTCAATGGGGTAGCTCTGGATCGCTGGCCTAACGTATTACATATCAGCCTCTAACTACTCACATTCCTGCACCAAAACCTGCACTTCTAAGTTTCCGACATTTACCTCCCAGTGATGGAGGTATGGGATTATATATGATCCCATCCCATATATGGGCATATGATCATATATGGGATTATATATGATATGTATGGGATTATATATGATCCAGCAATTCCACTTCTGAGTAGTGATAGTGAAAATGAGTTTAAACTTCAAAATAATTGAAAGCAAATATTTAATCAAATATTTGAATACATCCATATTCATAGCAGCATTATTCACAGTAGCCAAAAGGTGGAAGTAGCCCAACTATTCATCGATGGACAGGGGATAAATAAAATGTGGTCAACAATGGAATATTATTTAACCTTTAAAAAGGAAGGAAATGCTGATACATCCTAAAACATGGATGAACCTTGAAGCCCTTATGAAGACATTGTGCTAAGTGAAATACGCCAGTCACAAAAAGACAAAAAAGTGTCATATAATATATGAAGTATCTGAAATAAACAAATTTATAGAAAGAGAAAGTAGAATAGTGGTTGCCAGGGGCTGAGAGGAAGAGAAAATGAAGAGATGGTGCTTATTGGATATGGAGTTTCAGTTTTGCAAGATAAAAAAATCATTGAGATTGTTTGCACAACAATGTGAATATTACTACTGAGTGTACGCTTGGGGATGATCAAAATGGTAAATTTTATAATATGTGTGTTTTATCACGATTAATCATGAATAAGAATAATAACAAATAAAAAATTCAGTTGCCATTTGGCTTAACTTGTTGTCATTGTAAAAAAAAAAGACCTCCACACATCAGGCAGCTGTCATTATATGGCACCATTTTACCTGAACATGGCTTCAACTATCCTCTCCAAGTATGTAAGTTTCTTGTGTCAGATAGAAAATGCCTTACCTGAGATTCCAACAACAATCTTCTCTAGCTCCCATTTCGATCATTTCCTCCGGTAGGTTGAAGGGCAATCCTCATGGGTGATTGTTGGTGTCCTTTTCTAGACAGCCTAGAAGGAAGAAATTAGACTGATCAGCACTTTAAAACATTGAATGTCCTTCAAGGACAGCAACTTATACACAGAGGCCATCATGGGAAAGGTAGGTACATTAATCATCTCCCCGGCTGGAAACGAAGGAGAAGAAATAAATAAACAGCCCATCATCATGATCAGGTATCAAAGGTTCGTTTTAGGTCATACCCCCATTAAAAAGAATTTCAATGCTGTCAGGGGCAATGTCATGAATCTCCTGTACTTTTTTTATGAGTAATTCATGCAGGGAGGAATCACCCTCCCTATGAGCTCCGTAATGAGTGCCCCTGTCAATTTCTCTGCCTTTCCACTTTTGGTCATCTCAAAGCAAGTATAGACAAGTGCTATACATTTACTCCTGCATTGAGTGCCTGTGTCTTAAATAAATACTAAGTGAAGTTAGTGCAACTGATAAAAAAGTCAATAACTTAGAAAATAATATTAGCATTTTATTCTATGTTTGGACTTTATCATGTGAGGTTATCATTTTAAAGTTATTACTTAAACATCTTTAAAATAGCTCACTTTTAAAATATGCGTTTGTATAGAAATACTAGAAAATGCTGACAACCAAAAAAGATGAAAAATATGAAAATAAACATTTACTCTCAGCTTTCCAGTGATAACAATTATCAATTATTAACATCTTATTATACCCTACAATTTTTTTTAAATAATAGAGACAAAGTCTCTCTATGTTGCCCAGGCCGGTCTCAAACTCCTTTGTTCAAGTGATCCTCCTGCCTCAGCCTCTCAAACTGTTGGGATTACAAGCATGAGCCACTATGGCCAGGCATAAAAATTTTTAAAAATGTATATGTGTGCACACATACACACACACACACACACACACATACACGCAAATAGATATATATGTTTTGAAAATTGATACTCTATTGCCCATTTTGGTATGCAGGATTCTGAGATGACTCCAGAAATTTTGTGCCAGACACCAGAGGTATCCCAAAATAGGGCATTGGCCTCTAGAAACACCAGGAAAATATGTGGAGGGGGAAACACAAATCCATACCAAGCCCACTGAAACACCCCCAAGAACACAGCCTAATGAAGCAGTGTCAGCAACACCCTCTGTATGTGGGAAGAATAGAAAATTGTATTGATATCTTTAAATGGAGGGATTATAGAAAAGAAAAAAAGAGTAAAATAAGACATATTCCCCTTCCTATTCCAGAAAGTAGGTTAGGAAAAGAGACATTACCCATTAAAATTAGTCCTTCTTTAAGAAAAAAAGAAGCCAGAGACTTATTGTGGAGAAAGTAAAGTTCCCAGCTGTTGAGTTTAGAGATACGTATTTTTGACTTTGAAATTCCTTTAATAAGCTCCATCATTTTTTACTTACGTGTTTTTAAAGTGTGGCAGCTCAACTCCCACCCAACCTACTCCCCAAGCCTTAACCAGTGGCAAAGAACATTAAAATAAAACCTGAATAAATAAACAAAACTCTGAACCTTTATTTTATGTGAAAACCAAAACAAGGTCAAACTCTTTTCCCTTCTAATAGAATGCCCAAAGAAGAAAATTTTTCTCACACTGTTAAACAGTCATCATCAGATTCCCATGGGCAGAAATGCCAAGTTTGTTAGTATGGAAAAGAATTTAGATGATTTTTCTCTTTCTTGAAAATAGAATGATTTAAAGACCAAGGAAAAACAGGTTAACTCCTGAAAATTTCTGATTCCTGACAAATTCTCTTCCTAGAAGAGAAATACTTCCACTATTATAGATTTTCACAATAAAAAGTTTAATGTATCTCAGTTTTGTGTGCATTCTCTTTAATCATGGAATATACATTCATATTAAATAATTCATTGTTCTCAATAGAGTTATTCCTAAAAAGATGGTCTATATATCATCTTAAAAAGAAACATCTAACCATGCTGGAGTAACTAGTATCAAATTTTCTTCCTTTCATAAACAATTAAAGAACTGGGTAAAATATATGCAAGAGCTGGTTCCGGTACTAGGTAATAATCAGCACATGACTGTGATCTTGAGAGAAATGATGTAAATCAACTGAGCCCTGCAAACCCTGAATTCCTTTCTGGAGGCACTTCTCAGACTAAAGTCCATGGAAGGGAGGACAAGTAGACTATCCTGGTCTCCCTGAGCGGAAGAGATATTAAAGCTGAGGCAGCTAGAATTCATGGGGCAGAGTACTAGAAAAGAGATAGCTATCTAGAGAAAAAGTTCCAGTAATGTATATGAGGTCCTCTGAAGCCTATTGCTGAACATTAAGCTACATATGTGCAGGTTGAAACCCCACAAAGCTAAGCTGACAATTACTAGGGTGCTATCAGCTAAACAATTCTCACAGCATATTAGGCCTGAGAGATGAAAAAGTTCTAACAAGCCAGAATGGATAGTTCTTACTGACTCTCTGAGGCATTCAGTACACACACATTCAGTACATTCAGTACCCAGCCATGCCTGGGTAGCAGGAGTAAACCAGCTATAGAGTAAAATCTACTCTGTATCTGCCCTATCAAAATTTTCAGCAATTTTCAAAACGATTAAACTAAAAAGCGAGTGACTTAACTGCCTACCAGAACTAAGTCAAGCACCCTTTAAAAGAAGACAATGAAAGCTAGACACTCAGCAACATAAAATTCATGATCTTCAGCCCCTAGTCAAAAATAACTAGACGTGCCCTTAGAAGCAGGAAATAGGATCTAAAACCCGGAAGAAAATCAGCCAATAAAAACAGAACCAGACCAGGTGCAGTGGCTCACACCTCTTATCCCAGCACTTAGGAAGGCTGAGGCAGGAGGATTGCTTGAGCCCAAGAGTTTGAGACAGCCTGGACAATATGGTGAGACCCTGTCTCTATAAAATTAAAAAACAATAACAAAACAACAACAACAACAACAACAACAACACAGAACCAGAAGTGGGTGAATTAGAGCCAAAAAATTTTTAGCAGATATTGTAAACATGGTTAAAGGAAAACATGAGCATGATGAGGAGAAAGACTACAATATACAAAATAAGAAATGATTTTTGTGTCTAATAATTCATTTGGTGGAATTAACAGCAGTTTAGATAATGAAGAAAGAAATGTCAGTGAACTTGTAGACACAGCAATATGAGTTACCCAAATTGAAGCTCAGAGGAAAAAAAGAGACTGATAACAAAAAGCTAAAAAACAGAACTACCATTCAACCCATCACAGGGTATATACCCAGAGGAATGTAAATCATTCTACCATAAAGACACATGCACACAAATGTTCCTTGCAGTTCTACTCACAATAGCAAAGACACGTAATTAACCTAAGTGGCCATCAGTGGCAGATTGGATAAAGAAAATGTGATACATGGACATCATGGAGTACTACACAGCCATAAAAAAGAATGTGATCATGTGTTTTGTGGGAACAGAGTGGAACTGGAGGCCCTTATCCCTTGCAAACTAATTTAAGAACAGAAAACCAAATACCGCATGTTCTCACTTATATGTGGGACTAAATGATGAGAACTCATGGACACAAAGATGGGAACAACAGACACTGGGGCCTGTTTGAGGGTAGAGGGTAGGAGGAAGAAGAGGAGCACAAAAAATAACTATTGGCTACTAGCCTTAGTACCTGGGTGACAAAATAATCTGTACAACAAACCCTCATGACATGAGTTTACCAATATAACAAACCTGCACATGCACCATGAACCTAAAATAAAAGTTTAAAAAAAAAAAAAAAGCTAACAGGATCTTAGTGAATAACCACACTGTAGCTGGAGCCCCAGAAGGAGAGAGGGAAATGATTGGGGGAGAAAGTTTTAAACAAATAATGGACATTTTTTTTTCAAATTAGGTGAAAACAACAAACTCAAAAGTTCAATGAATTCTAAGCAAGATAACACAAAGAAAACCACACTGCAGTATTTCACAAACAAACAGTCAAGCAAAAAATCTTAGCGTCACCCTACATACAGGAGGTCACAGAGAAGAGTGATTACAGACTTCCCAAAAATAGCACAAGCCAGAAGATAATGAAGTAGCATCATTAAAGTTCTGCAAGGAAAAAACAGAACTGTCAAATCTAGAGTTTTAGAATTTTATATCCAGCAAAATACTTAGTAAAAATTAAGGCATAATACAGTTATTTTGAGCAACATAAACAAAAGCCGAGATAATTTTAACTACAAAAGTTTGTACTACTCTTGAACTACAAAAAAATATATTAAAGGAAGTTTTTTAGGCAGAAGGAAAATAATTCCAGATAAAAATATTTTTTTAAAAAACAGAAAAGTGAGAAAGAAGCAATATAGTTTATATGGTGAACAACACAGAATTTGAAATCCTGATGTTGATACTTTGGTACTTACAAAGCATTAGTTTCCTTATCTGTAAAATGTAGATGTTTATGCCTTCATCATAGCAATGTTGCATAGATTTAGTGAAATAAAGATCATTTAGCACAATGATTGGAACATACTCAGCACTCAATGAATCAGAGCTATTACTATGTTATTGATAGCTATTAAATGTCCAAATATATTACCATTAGTAACTCTTAGTGAATAATTTGCACAGAATGCCGTATATGTAAAAAAGAGATAGGCTGATCAACATTAAGCTTTGTAATTTATCTTGGAAAAAGGTGGGTAGTTAAATATGTCAGTATTATTGGTGCTTTGCAGGGTGGGAAACTGGGAAATGGAGAAGACATGAGATACCATGAGACTGGTCACAGAGAAGAGTTCTTAGATGAGAGGGAAAGATTTCTCATAAGCAATACAATGCTATCTTGTTGACTTGTCATGAAACCTCTTACAATATCTCTGACTTCAGGTCAATATTGGCCTTTCATTGTACATCCATCTGGAAGAGTTGTAAAATAAAAAATAACTATTTGGAAGTTTTCTTGATCCTTAACTTTGTTTCATTGGTAGAAAACAAGTTACCTGCCTATGAGTCTACAAAATAACCAATGCAATGGATATTCTCTAGTAACATTT